TTGTTTGAATGAGTGGTGGTAGTAGAAGTCAATGGTAGCCTACTGTTAGGCTGGTATTGGTTGTAGTAGCCTAATGGTGAGTGGTGGTAGTAGAAGTCATACCAGTAACAGTAGTAGTAGTAGTAGTTTACAGCAGTGGGAGCAGGGGGTTGTAACAGTAACAGTACTGCAGTTGAAGTAGTGGCATTAGCACCAATAGTTGTAGTTACAGTAGTAGTACTTGCAGTTATAGTAGTGGTGTAATGGCCAACGTGTGATGTGACAGACGGGCAGTGGCACTGTTGTAGTAGTAGTACTCCTTATAGTGATAGTAGTAGTGGTGCCACTATTATTTAGTATTTTCAATGTAGTAGCCATGTCACTAATACTGTATTGCTATTGCAGACATACCTGGCAGTGGTCGCAGTGAACCTGGTATTACTGTGGTAATTGTGGGTGTATTGGTAGTTATTGTTGTATTGGTAGTAATTTAAAATGTACAACCTTTTACCATCGTCTAATACTCTGATAGTAAATATTGAAACGTAGTACTCTAGTCCTGACACTTTCACATGCTTGTTGTGTCCCTTCATGTGTTTTACATTTTATCTTGTGTGTTTTATGCTTTGTTGTTTTGTGTAAAGCGACAGTGTTGTGTCAGTGCTGAGCTGTATTCTGAAGAGCCCACACCCTCTGTCACAGGAGCAGTACTTCACTTTATGTCATGCACCTGTGGGAAACCATGACCTGAGACAACAGACAACGATGTCAAATGACAAAATATATCATAAAGAAGAACGTGTCCAAAGTAATTTTGTGTATAATCACGTATGTATGTGACGTCAGTACAATGTTAAAACATACTTTATCTCAAGACACATATTTTATATATGATTTAAATTATACAAGAAACACACCATTTTGTGTACGACTTGTTAATTTATGCACAACCACAGACTAATACGCACACATATTCCTCCCTCCTAGACCTTTACAGACGCCCCCTGGTGGCCGGGCCGCGCTGCTGCAGCTGGGCCTCCACACCTGATACACCCTGGTCTGACTTCTTTCTGTTTGTGAAATAGATGAATATGACCCTGCTCTGAATGTGGTGTTTTTAAAATCACTTTTTTCATTTCTTTTACATGTTCAGGCATATTTTTTGGCAAAACCTTCCCCCTAAATTAAATGTTGTTTCTAAGCGTTGTCTACTCTTCCCAGTATTTATTTTGGTGGAGAACACAATCCATTTTATTTATTTGGCAAAGGATCAGTCAAACTTCAAGGCATTTATCGAGTCCTATAAGACACAGAGAATATCTTATGTCTCATACATAATCAAAAGTTAAATGTCTCGTAGCCTTTTTGTCTACATACAGCAGGTTAGTACGTTTACAAGTGGCCCTGTTGCCACAGTAACACTTATTAACATCAGCTGTTTTGTCTTGGATTTTCAGTTTCACTAACATTTTACTTGTACTTTTATTGTGAAGTTTCAGTGTAGGGGGCGGAGCATATGTGTGTGTCCACTTCTCATTGGATAATTGACCAGGAGTTCGTCATGTCGAGCTGGTCTTTCACTGGTCGGGGAATCGCTGGTGAAGACAGCCCCCGACCACTAGATGTCACAAGCGTCCAGCACCTCACACGCTGTGACGTAACAGAGTGGGCGCACTGAAACCAACGCAGCTTCTCATCTTCACGTTTAAACACGAGCGAGAGCTGCTGAGTGGATGATGGAGACAAACTGTGACCGCGCTGTGGTCAAACATTCACGTGTTTCCATTAGCACAATGTAATTCCGAGGTCTCCACAGGAACATGTGCCACCGGTTTATTAGGCAGCCTGAGCTTTCACTGCAGGCGGGTTGTCTAGACCCGATCCACCAATAGAAACCAAACCAGACGCACTGCAGGTGTCCCAGTAAACGCTACGCACGGTGATGCGGTATGTACACTGTTAGTTTGCACGTTTGTGGGGAGTTAAACCACCATACACTCTTTGCCACACCGTGCAGCCTCTGGGGCCCCCGGAGCTCAAGTATGTGGTTTTTATTTTGTGCTGTTGTTGAAGAGGACGTTCCACCTTAAAACCAGCACCACACGCGCCTCTTGGTGAGTTTATAGGTTATCAGTAATCGTGTCCTCTCCCTTAGCTGCGGGGGCGCGCAGGGAGTCTCTTCTCCTTTAAGTGAGAGAAGAAACACCCCCACCCCCGGACGGCCTAGTGTGAGACAGGAGGCCGCTCTACCGGAGCTGTGATGGGGATTTGAACGCACTGCCGCACGGCCTCGTTCAGAGCGAGTCCCTGTCACTCTCACCCCCCCCGTTTGGATCTATGCTGCCCGCTTTCGGCCTGCGCTCGCTGCCTGGAGCCCGGAACGGGGCTGCGTTGGGCAGACTGTGACCGTCCGTCGGGCGGAGAACGCAGCGGAGCCTGCGGGGACCTCCGGCTGCCTCTGCTGCTCTGTGTTCGTGCGTGTTTCTCCGCGGACTGGACGCAGTTTTGGAAACACTCGGGATTAGGTGATTTGTGCTCCGGGGAGTTGGATGTGTGTTTCGCCCCGCAGGACTCACCTGGATTCCGGCGCCGATGGCGCAACGGGTGCGTAAAACCAACTTTAATTAGCGCACAGGGCTGAGGACGGTTCGTCTCCAGGCACAAGATGTTTAGAGCAGAGGTGAAACTTTGGTCCCTGGAGTTTCAAACTGACAAGAATCACGATTTAAACTCCTAAACGAACACACAACTAATGTTTCTTCTATTCGCATTCACACCGTGTCCAGGTTACAACTAATGACGCGCGCACACACACACACACACACACACACACTTTCTTCCGTGTTTCAAAATTGTTAACCAGTTTCTGGTCATATTATCAGATGTAATATATCAAAACAAAACTAATTTCCACACAGCAACTGTGAAAAACCAAAAAACAATAAATCACTGATCCAAACTAGCTTTAGTTATTTCCTGTATATTTATTTATACTTATTTCCGTTTATTTCCTGTTGATTTATGACAAAACTGTTCAGTCCAAGTTGGAGCTGAACTCCTCAAACAAAAAAAGGTTCTGACTCCGGTTTGTGTGTCGAAGACTGTTTACACGCGGTTTGTTTGCAAATGAACCGATTTTATTTCCGGATCCTTTTGTTTATTCACGGCAGATAAAACCCGTTCCAGCTCCACACGCCCAGTTTAAAGCGGTTTAGTTCGGGCCATGTCACTGGCCCGTCAGGTTCCGAGTCGCCGTTTGGCTCTTTATAAAATGTACGTGACAAAAATAACGTCGCTGGTTTTAAGTTAAATTTCCAGCTCGGTTCTGGAGACGTGGGACGTTAGTTTACAGCAGAAACCATCACAAACATAACGAGATCCTATTTTATTAAAATGTAGTTTTACCAATTTATCACAGACCTTTACCCACATTCATTCTTTTCTTTACAGATTAAAGCTAAACGTTTTTAAAGTGTCACGCCACGCACACTTGGTTTATAGCAGAACAAACTAAATGACCCAATTAATTGAATTGAAAAGTTTTTTTTCTTTTTGTTCAATAATGAGAAGATTAAACGTTAGACCTTTAACTGTAAACCCTAACATTATATTGTTCTAACAATATAATGTTACAATTAATAAAAATAATAATAAAGAAAACATGTAAACTGGAAATGTCTTTGGCTCGTTTCCTGTTCACAACAGACTGGACACTGCATTCGTGCACGCTGCAGTCGTGCACACCGAGGTTCACGTTATTCTGTCCACACCGTGCACATTATTAGCATCTGTGTGTTTAAAAGTTATTGATCATGTGATAAACAGGGGTGGACATAATAATGTGAACACAGTACCACATCACCTTTAACTACACCTCAGTAATGAACATCGTTTAATTTGTACGTTTCTGACGTCACTAAACCTGACTCGTGTTGAGCTTCATAAACAGATGTTCAGGCGGAAGCGTACAGGTGTCCCTAATAAAGTGGTCGGTCGCTGTGTATTTACGGCTTCTCCTTTAATTTTAATTTGACCGAAGACCATAACTATCAGAATAAAGGACCGAGGGGGTGTGAAAGGTTTGACACTTGTTTTTCCATGTCAGCCTTTACCGCATCAGAGGAAATGGGGTGGACAGAATAATGGGAACGCTCGGAGCCGGTAACCGGGTTTTGCTGATGCAGATTTTTTCTGTCTGGTTGTTTTCAGACATTTCTCAGGTTTGATGTTTTCTCTACAGCTGTTCAGGAGGTTTGGTCCAACAAAAGGTGCGATGCGGTGTTTCACTTTAAAATGTAGTCGTTTCAAAGTAAAGTGGGACAAACCTTGAGTCTACATGGCTCCTTTAATGAGGGCTGACTTTGTCATGGTGTTTCTGGTTTTCCTGCCCTTTAAAGCTCAGTTGAAGCTTTAAGGCTGTCAGTCTGTTGAGTCCGACCTAAAGTCCACACATCCAGTCACAGAGCGTCACAATACATTAACCCTAATACTATTTAAACAGTATTTCTTACAGTCAGAAGTTCAGGGGACTGTAGATTTGTAGGGTTTCGTTATACGTGCTCTTTTTATTTTTATTTTTCAGAGTTTGTTTAAATGTATTTGTATAACACATTTTAATAAAAGAACAGAACTTAAAAACAGAAGCATTAAAAGAATGAGACAATAAAATACAGTGCCTTAAAGAGCAAGAGTGCATTAAACGTGAAGTGTGAGTATTACTTCTCAAACAAATCCAGGTGAAAATAAAAAGGTTTTCAGTAGATTGTGACATTATGAGCACATGGAAGATCTAGGGTTAGTACATGAAGTCCAAGTACAGAGCAAGTGAAAGCTGCTCCGCCACGTTGAGTCCGAGTTTTGGGCTCCACAAGCCAACCTGAGTCCGCAGCCGGGAGGACCCTGCCCAAATGTCGGTGGTCTATGGAGATGGAATGGCACTTGTTCTACATTTAACTGGGAGCCAGTGTAGAGACTGTGGACTGGGGTACTGTGGACTGGGGTACTGTGGACTGGGGACTGTGGACTGGGTACTGTGGACTGGGGTACTGTGAACTGGGGACTGTGGACTGGGGACTGTGCACAGTCGTCTCAGTTAAAACTCCACCAGCAGCGTTTGAATTAGTTGCAGCTGTTGAATAGTCTTTGTGGGAAGTCCAGTTAAAAGACCAGAACAATAATCCACACTACTAGAAGTAAAAGCATGAATAAGACACCCCCACCCACTCCCGCACCACGGTAAAGGCTGAATCTCTGTTAGATTTTGAACTTGATCTTTAGTTTTTAAACCCTGAGATTCAAGTTGTGCTCCCACTCTAATTTTCATTTCCTTCCTGCCAAAGAAAGGCTCCTCATTTTATCTGTTCACTTGGAGAAAACTGTGACTTGTCCACTTATTTGTTTGCTCTAGACATTGGCACAGTGACTCCAGAGGACTGGAGTCATCAGGTGAAGGAGCCAGAAATATCTCCATAACTACAGAAGCTGATGGCTTTATTTTGGAGAATATGGCCCAAAGGTGGCAAATAGGGGTTGAGCAATAAAAGTCCAAGAACATCAAAAAGGTTTGAGTCAACAGATGCACTCTGATAACTTTGCGAGTGAAAATAACACCAGGTTAAAGGACGCAGCCGGTGATTTAGCACGTTTGTCTTATTCCCCACCAACCCCGTCCACAGACCAGCAGCACCAGTGAACGTGGTGTCCTCACTGTCATGTGTGAGTCCAGACCCTGGTTCAGCTCATCGCTCTGTGCTGTAGACCTCCACTGTTATCCACAAGCTACTAGACTGCCCCCCCCACATCTTATCTCTTTGTTCCAGTATGAAGACCTGGCCCACTATGGCCTGGAGGGGCTGGACAGGGTGTATGCAGACCCACACCACCACCTACACCATCCGGCGGGCACAGCCCCCTGGTCCCTCCCCCCAACATCAGTACTCCCAGTACAGCCACAGCAGCCTGGCGCCCTCAGCAGGGGACACAGTCAAGAGGGACAAGGACGCCATTTATGGGTATGCTGAGTTTACTGACACTGTCAAAAACAAGCAAAGGCTCTGTAGCTGTGTAGAAGGACAGAAGGAAAAACACAGCTCAGATTCACCGACTGTTACTCGTCTGGACGTTTCTCTTATCTTTGAGCTTTGGAGTTAAATCTTGGTCAGTAGTTACGGGCGGTGAGCAGAGCTAGTGTCATATTTAGTGTTTAACTGAGACGGCGTCATGCTCTGTGGTGGACAGACATCAGGGTCCAACCAGACATGTCAAAGTTTGGAAACTACTGATTCATTCTTTAACTGTGCCGTTTCTGAACGTATCGTTTGTTCTTCTATTGTAAACATTAAAATCTTTAGCTGAAAAGTTGGTAGTAGCTGAAACAGTCAGATAAATGTAGTGCAGAATTCTCATCTTAGAGTAAAAGTACAAAGAAGCATCAAATACAGATGTCAGTAAAATAAATACATGCATATATGTACTTAGCTACTTTCTGCCACTCTAACCAGAGGAAACCCTGCAGTGGAGTTTATCAGTTTTGTGTCCTTGCAGAGAAAGTTTGGTTGTTTATATTTAGTTGTTTCACTGTTTGGAAAAGTTTCCTAGATCATTTTCAGAGTGAGTTACACTTGTGTTTCTCACTTTGAGGCAGCAGATGCTAGCTTTTCACTCTGACACCCCCCATTCCTCTCTGCAGACATCCCTTATTCCCTTTGCTTGCACTGATCTTTGAAAAATGTGAACTGGCGACGTGCACACCAAGAGAGAGCGGTGTGGCCGGAGGAGATGTCTGCTCCTCGGACTCCTTTAGCGAGGACATTGCCGTCTTCTCCAAACAGGTAGAGCCCATGTTCTGGCCACATGTTAACGCAGAGCAGGTCAGAAGTCATATGGTAGAGGCAGGGCCAGATTGATCCTGTACAGGGCCCGGGCAACAAGGAGCCCCCACTGAGCCCCCAGTGATCCTGCTCGTTGTATTTATTAGTAAATGGTCTCATGGTAAATGGTCTTATACTTGTATAGCGCCTTTCTATGCTTTACAGCACACTCAAAGCGCTTTCACATTATTCGGCCATTCACCCATTCGCACTCCCAAGCACTCACACACCGGTGACATCACCAGGAGCAACTGGGGGTTCAGTGTCTTGCTCAAGGACACCTCGACATGTTGACTGGACAAGCTGGGAATCGAACCGCTAATCCTCCGGTTAGGAAACGACCTGCTCTACCTCCTGAGCCACAGCCGCAGGTCAAATTGAAGTTTCATAGTGAAAACTGTTCCATTATACTCTACTAGAATACTTCTACTATACAATATTCCACAGAAAAGTCCTGCATTCATACTTTAATGTTGTAGCAGGTTGTGATGGTGTTATTTGTTAACTGTTTAAACTCTGTTGGGAAGTTTTACATGTAATAAAGCTTCATATTTGATAAGGTGATCATATGTTTTGTGTGAAGCAGTAGAAGTATAGAGTAAAACTGAAATACATGGAAAAATAAAATTTAAAAAAGATTCATTCAGTGGGACTACATCATAGAGTGCATGGTCAGGGACCACCAGGGGGCCACGGGCCACTGGTGGAGAACCCCTGGTGTAAAGTGAAGTAAGACTAGAGTTCAACTCTGAGCATGATGATGATGTGCTGATGCAGGTGCCACCCAGAGGCCCCTGCTGTGCACACAGTATTTCGGTGTCACCAGACGAGTGCAGTGATCTTTGTACGATTTCCTTGTAGATCCAATCAGAGAAGCCTTTGTTTTCGCCGAACCCAGAAGTGGACAACGTGGTGAGTTACTGTGTCTTACAGTGAATCCTTCCCTCTCTTCTGTAAAAACTACAGACAGGACATACTGGTGCCTTCCAAATGCAGTAAAACACTCATCAGTTGTGCACATTGTTCCATTTTTTAAAAACTATGAAGCCGTTTTTGTGACGCTTCAGTCCCACGCAAACGGCGCTAAGCTCGGTAGCTTCAGTCATCTTCGTCCAGGATTGGTGGCGGCAAATTAAGTCTGAAACCCGCAGGTATTCCCGTACCTTCAGCAGCGCCTACGACGCGAGCGTAGAAACTTTTGGGTTACATTACATGCAGATGGACTAACATCTGTCCAGGTGGCTGCTGCACCGGAACTCGTATGACACGTGATTGACCAGATCACAACTTAACGTTCTCCTCCATGGCGCTTAGAGTTTTGACCATACTGTATGAGTGCACACATGGAAGCAAACACATAGGTGAACCACAAAGCTGGACTGTGTTGGATGTTAGCTTGTGAAAATAGTCGCTGAGGAGCTGAACCCTGTTTTTTGCACTTGCACATTATAAAGTTTTGTTTCTTGCAGATGATTCAGGCGATACAAGTGCTGCGCTTCCACCTCCTGGAGCTGGAAAAGGTCCCAAAACATGGATTTGTGTCTGTGACCTTTGACCTCTTGATCTCATTTACCCAACATGTGCAGTTAAATCTAATGTGAAGGGATTAAGGCAAAGATGTCAGCTGCTAATCCGAGCCTCATCCTGAACAGGAGCCACCGTCGTCCTGTAACACCACTGTTACCTTCCTGTATTTGATGTGTTACATTACATGGAAACACACGTCATAGTCTTTGTTTGTTTCTTATGTAACTAGGCAAATATATGGATTTTATTTTTTAAATAAGTTTGTGCTGACTGTGCAAAGATCCTGTACATTTTAGGTATCTTGTTTTCAGGTCCATGAGCTTTGTGATCATTTCTGCCATCGATACGTCAGCTGTCTGAAAGGGAAGATGCCGATCAATCTGGTGAGAGATGACAGAGATGGGAACAACTCAGAGGGCGAGGACTTCATCAGGTTATCAGGGAGCAGCGTGGATCAGGTGAGGTCGCTGTACTTCTAGGAAACATGCTGAAACATGTTTACAGTTTCTAAACGACGTTACAGGCGTAGCTGCAGATGTTGTGTTGGGGGGACAGATTGTACCTCTGATTCAGGGTTGGGGGACAGATTGTACCTCTGATTCAGGGGAAATATCGTAACTTCTACTGCACTGCATTTGATTTTACTGCTGTTAGTCTGAGCTCTTTTCTCCAAACGGTGGCTTCCCCTCACTTTGAAAGAAACAAGAATGAAATGAATGAGCATGAAACCATCGTCATCATGTTTAATGCCCGTTCAGCCAGTAGAACTGTTCATCGACACCAGTAAATAGTCAGAGAGTGTACAAACAAAGTTACAGTAAAATAATGAAAACATATCAAAAGTTTTCATCCACCTTTATGAAATGTCCTCCAACACTCTGTACATCCTCCCTAACTCCTCCAACCTCTCTGGGTTCCCTCTGAACAGCGTTTGGATCCTGTCAGGTGTCCTTTTAACCCGTTCTGTATGGCAGACTTGTCCCAAGTTGACCACGTTTGTTTGGTTGTCTGCTGTGTACAGCACTCTTCCCATCGAACCACAGGTTTTCAGGGATACTCTAACTCAAAGAGGTGCTGGGAAACTTGCTTGAGAGCTACGTAAGAATCCAAAACAAAGCTTTGCACACAGCTGAATGTGATTAAACCTGCACCCTGTGACCTGAGCAGTTTCCTCTGCAGGTTTCCTGGAGCAGAGATCACGATGACACGGTGTCGATCCACTCGGCCGGGACCCCGAGACCGCCCAGCGGAGGACACGCGTCTCACAGCGGTGACGAGGGTTACGGGGAGGCGGAGGTTTCCCCACACGCCTGACTGGATAGAAGTGGGAAAGGGAGATGATAAAAGGAGGTGATGAAGGTTGGCTGACGATGTGAGCACTGAGCAGAGCGGCAGAGAGAGATCCCTATGTCCCAGAGCGCACACACACCCACAGGCCTGATGTTCACACCAAGGGGGTCGACTCCAAGGGGCTCCCTCTTACCAGTGAGCACCACTGGTTCAGTCTGGCTTTGCTGGGTAGAGCAGTTAGCAGCCTGTAAACCTGTCCGTGTGTTTGAGTCAAACCAACATTAGCACTGTTACGTTGTGCTGTTACTGTTGTGACCTCAGCAGTGAGGTCACCTTTATCAGAGCGCTGGATTGGTTGTTATTCTGACCCCGCCCACCATTGCTCCAAGGGGGGCTCAGACCCTGGTCAATATCCTGTTTGTAAAGCTGGAGAGCAGAGCGTGCACACCGGGCCCAAACATTTCATTGTGTTTGTGTTTTCATGAATGTTTTCCTGTTGTGACTGTGGAAGAACAGTCGCTGTAAATGAGGACAAAGCTTTGTAAACAGCAGAGTGGGTGATTTTCTTGATCTGTAAATTAAACACACACATAAAACTGTGTCACGTCACCGTGACTTGTTCCCACTGGATGACAAAGGTGAAAGCATTTTGAACTCTCGAGGACGTGGTCACTCATGTCATTGCCTTTTCATACCAGCTGAAACGATGCCCGTCTCTCCACAGGCCACTGGAGCCACGTTTCCATCCACCGCTTTATTTTTTTTTGTTGAATATTTTTGGTTTTGCCGTTAAAAATCAACTCACTTGGCTGGAATAACCAGAAGCTGCTGCGAGCGTACGTCCTGCTGCCTCCATCAGAAGCAGCAGAGTCGAGATTCAGAGCGATCACTGTTGGCTGCATAAGATCCTGTTCTCTTCACTGTATTAGCACTAAGCTAGCTGATGGAACAGTGCACTGGCTGTGTGAGGCCTTGGTGTCTGGGCGGGGAGCTGACGTCAGTCCTGGCACCGCTCTGGCTCCAGCAGCGTCACTGGATTCCTCATGCAGGTTATAGAACATGGTGCATGTTTGACACGTGTTTCCCCCCCGTGACAGATCAGTTATGTAGAAACAAATGTTGTGACCACAGCATTGGGCTTCGTTTGTCCTCTCCCCCCAGACCTCCTCCTCCTCTCTCAGTTCACAGGTTGGTGTCACAGGCCATTAGCAGGTTGGGCCGGACCTTGTTTTCCTTGGAGAGCTGAGGAAAGTGTGGTGGAAGGGTGGGGTGTGGATCAGCTTCAGGGAGTTCACGGTTCAGCCTAATGAGGCTCAGAGCTTGTTTATGGAGTTACGCATCGTCTTGAGGATTATTTCCACCTTTTCAGGCTCCACTTGACAGAATCCTGCCTGTGTTCGGTCATTCGCTGACTCTGGGCAGGACCGTGGCCCTGACCTCACCCTGGTGCTGTGAAAGACACCGAGGAGAAAACGAGCCTCATTAAACAGGCAGAGAAAGTGTAGGAAAAACACCAGGGCTGGCAGCTTTTAGAGGTTTTCAGCTGAAGCAGTTCATTGTATCGAAACCCTCGGGGAGCAGCAGGAAAGTCAAGGAGCGCTGCCCACTGAGCGGAAATGTCTCACTGATCTGGGTTTGCTTTCGTTTTAGTCCACAGTGAGACATGCATGTTCGTTCTTGGAGATGAGCGGTGATGAAAACTCTGCTTAGCTTTTAAATGAAGTCAAGTTGTGTTTGAATGCATTTTTTATTATGTGAAGGATGTGTGTTCAGCCTTAAACAGGGTCACAGGCGACTTTTTAACTTTAGAAAAACGCCTTTACAGACGTCCGTATCTTCTGAGTATTGTCCTCAAATCATCACAACACCCCTGTGGGTGTGTTTCAGGGGACTGCCTAAACAATGGCGTGGCGTCTCCCAGCACGGGGGGCGACGACGACCTCGACAGAGACAGACTGCACAACAAGAAGAGAGGTATTTTCTCCAAAGTGGCCACCAACATCCTGAGAGCCTGGCTCTTCCAGCACCAACCTCATGCCCACTCTCACTGTCTGGTTTGTCCTATTTAATCTGGCCAGTTAAAATAAAAGACACGTTTTAATCCCTGCTAATTTGCGCTGAGTTTGGTTGGTAGCTCTGGATGCGGTTGTGCTGGGTGGACTCAGGGTCTCGGCTACGGCCCTGCACTGCTTAGCTGGTTTCATGTGTTGACCCAGATTAAACAGGATGTGAACAGGATGTGCAGCGCCGCTTCCAATGGGTGTGTTTGTCTTGAAACAGGGCATCAGAACACTGAGCTGCACGTTAATGTCTTTCTGCTTATCAGCTTTAAAATGCATCGGTCTCCCTCAGGCTAAGAGTGACAGCATCAGATTCAGGGACTAATCAGCTGATGCATCCGCTCGCTGACGTGGACAGAACAGCCCTTCTGGAATAATCAGCGTTTCCACTGACAGTCAAAAGAAGCAGCAGCTGAGACAGCAGCCACCTCGCTGGCATCCTGGACCTGTAGACAGCACATACTCGGTGTCGGCCTCGTGGGCAGCGCTGTCATGGCCGGCCCTGTTGTGGCTGTGATTGCGGATCAAGTTTCTTGGTCCACATGGAGCCTCTGATATGCAACGAAGGTGAACACATCCAGAGATTTAAGGTGGTTAAAGACTGGGCCTGTTCTGATCCATCTTAGAAGTTCCCCTGGCTCACTGGTTCTTGTGAAAGTGACAGTGGAAACTCCCAGCACCGGCTCCAATCAGGCCTGAAACACCCGAGCTGCTCTGGCTTTGGTTAAAACCAGAGGACTCTGAGCTCATTTCCTGTAGTGTGAGGAGGCAGCTCTGGGGCTCCCTCACCCTGCAGTGAAAACATCATCCATTACCTTCACTTGTTCTTTCTCTTACTTTTAATACCTTGGTGGAAGCAGATGTGTCTCCACCATGCGACTGGTCTTTCTAGAGATCATAGAGTCTGAACTTGAGCAGTGCTGCATGTTTCCCCAGTGAGAAAACAGTTTCTGAAAGTGCTGCTCTCCTGGTCAGGGACGGGCAGAGACATGCAGCAGCTGGTTTCACTCTGTGCTGAAGAAGCTACAGCTGCTACACGGAAACATTCTCATTCACTGGCTGAGGACTTGGCTCAGCTTCCCTGTCCTTGGAGCTCATTGGCCGTTTCCTCAGTGCTGGTACCAGTAGCCAGAGGTGGCTCTACGCCGGCACCGCAACACTTCAGTGTTTTCCTGAGGTAACATTTCCTGCCTGTCTAATCACAGTCCTGACCTTGAAGTTGGCGTTCGCACTTGTTCACCTCAGTCTGAGGACAGCCCTCACTGTGACGTGTCCACTGGCCCCAGACTACACCATCCGTATTCTGTTCAGCTCAGTCTGAGGTGAGGCTTCAGCAGCTGACTCACACAGATCCACTGGACCTCTCCATTACTATAACGCGATGGTTTTCAGACCAATCCAGACCTACAGTTGTGGGTTTGCATCTGCTAAAATAAACCTGATGAGTATTAGATCCCTTCCTTGTTCAGTTGTCCACCTCAGTCTGCTGCAGCGCTGCCCCCCTTCATGACAGTGCTCGTGGCTGAGGTCTGACACTGACTCAGACAGGATGTCACATCTGCTCTCTGCTCCTGATTAGCTCGGTGTGGAAACGCTCAGGCAGTAGCTTGGCGCTGATTAATGTGTATGTCGCTCAGCAGACTGCAGTGACTGCAGCACAGACCTGGGATGCAGTACAAATACTCAAAGTACAGGAACAGCATTTTATGAGGTACCTGCACCATGTCCTCCTCCTTCATCCTGTGACTCCATGTCAGAGACAAACCGTGTACTTTTTACTATACTACATGTACCTGATACCTTCAGGCCCAGAATCAGATGAATCAAACCAAACCCAGTAGAACCATCAGACTCTATTGATCCCAGTAGGAAATCCACCAGCTACCCAGCAGGATGGAAAGTACTTCCCAGTATAAGTATATAAGGTAGTTACCATCAGCTCCACCTTTACCAGCTGCAGCATTAAAGTGATGGACACAGTAATTAGTCACTATGATCCAGTATCAGAGACGTTACTGGGACACGGGCCGTTCTGCTGGACGGGTACTGGTACTGCTGGTACTTCAAGTAGATTTTAATGAGAATACTTTTGTACTTCAGTATCATGTTGAATGCAGGACTTGTAAATGAGTATTTATACACTGTAGTAATTCTACTTTTACTGCAGTAAAGGAACTTCTTGCACTGCTGTGCACACTGACACACACATGTAAAAGCACCAAATACTCCGGGGATGAGCAGCCTCGGGCCGGGTCTGATCCACCAGCACACCGCAGGCTCATTAACAGTCTCTCTCTCTCTCTCTCTCTCTCGCTCATTGGCTTGCCACTTCTTTCCATTAATTATGTCCCATTTCATATTCCTTTGGTGAATCTAGCCCCTCCTCCTCTCTTTAATACTGATTAGCAGCAGCTCTGAGGCTCACACCAACAACAACAAGCCTGCCATGTGTGGCAGTGCGCTGACATCTCAGTGTTTTGTCCCCCTGCAGCACCCATACCCGTCGGAGGAGCAGAAGAAGCAGCTGGCTCAGGACGCCGGCCTCACCATCCTGCAGATCAACAACTGGTGAGTTGTGACACCGGAGAGGACACGCTCTTCTTCTTCTTCTTCT